GCCAGGATGGCAGCCTAATAATGTCTTCTTTGCTATAAAGCCAACGAGGCCTCCTGACCTGGGCCACGTCACCACACTGAAGTAACTGCTACTCTGTTAAATCATGAGAAGAAAGCAAGCCAATGGTCTAGGTCGAGTAGAGCTTCAATCTTGCCTAGGACTCACTGTGACTATCTATCAATCTCATCTACCAATCGTGTCCCAGTAAGTGCGGAATCAGCCAGTTCTGCTCAAATCTCAGGTAACTTTGGAATGGGATATGGCATCTTAGGCCAGGCGGACTATTAGATCCTTTCTCTACTGATCGCAATGGGAAAAGAGATGCTCTCTATGACGGAGGGCCCAGCAGTCTTTAGCATCTTCAGTGTTTACCATGACAAAGAATTACCAAGGGCTAAGAAACATCCTTGGTCACAAAACACTCACAGCAACCAATCACTGAACTCTATGATAATCTACAAGGGTGACTTTCTATCCACAAAACAAAAATTGAAGAAGAAAATACTTTGATTCACAGTGCCAGGTCTTAGGACAAAGTAAATAAAGAACCACAAATTCTTTTTTTCTGTCCCTGTGCCTGTTAAATGACAGGTTGGATGAACAGAAGATTGCTAAGGTCTGTTCCACCTCTAAAGATCATAGGAGGGGTCTGAAGATGAGGAGCACTCTCCCACCGGTGGGGTTTTAATTCTGATATTACAGCATGGAAAGAATTCCCATGAACTGATGTTGCCCTAGCTTAAACTTCATAAAAAGGATTTTCAGACATCTCAGTGTTGGTATTTTGGCAGACCTACAACAGCCTCCCTTCCCTCAAGTGCTGTCTCTTTTCTTTCTGTGTGCACCTCTGTCTATCTTTTGCTCTCTCTGCCACACACACACACACAAATCAGAAGTATGTGCAAACCAGTGAGAGTGAGAATCACACTGGGATGGGGCAGGCCCAAGGGCTACCCTGTCCCATAATGGATTTCAGCTGTAAGGGCACTACTTCCACAGTGCCCCCTTGAAAGTGGTTGTAGAGTGAGAACAAGTGGCAAGAGCAGTAAGTAATAAAATGATCTGAGTCGACCGAAGAGGACTACCCAGCAGGGGCTGATTCAGGGAAATGAAGTCCCTTCTGCTCTGATGCAGAGGAGTGACCTGGCCCAACTGAGAGATCTCTTCCACTCCAATGGATCCTGTACTATTAATATCTGCCAGCTGCAGGCCCAGAGCATCCCCCTGCTGAGATCAAAAGCACCCCTATCTTAGCTGGAACAAGGTCATCTGCACAGGGCTGTAAATGAGAGCCCTGGCTGGCTGCAGAGATGCCTATGGGGGAGGAGCAGGCAGGAGAGGGGAGGTGCTCTCTCACGCTCCTTTAATCTCGGCTGACCAGCTGTTGCCCTCCCAGTGTTTGTAAAGTTGAGGGTTCTTTGTTTTTGTGTTGCAGCTCTCCCCAGCCCTTTATTAAATTGTAGCTGGGTTTTTCCTTGGATTAAGTAGACCTATGTTCACTGCTTGAGATCACGATATAATTCCCTTCATTAAAGTTTCATTCCACTATTGAGTGATCCGGCTTCCAGGTAGGAGAGCCAAAGAAGGAAGAAGTGGACCCCAAAGGCCAAGGACTTTCCTAACCTTGTTCCTGCTCCAGACTTTTGTGCCTTGAAATTTCCTTATTTAGTTAAAATAATTCTTCATGTGTGCAGTATGCTTGTCAATTTGCAGCCTGCCCTTCACAACTTATCCCATTCATGTGGGAGCATGGAACTTTCAGGAACTATGCAAAATCACCCAAGTTACAAAATCACCCCATCCCAGTGTGCGTCTCACTCTCACTGGTTTGCACACACTTCTGATTGCCTATATATCTGTGTGGCAGAGACTGCAAAAGACAGACAAAACCAGAAGTATACACATTTGGAAAAAGAGACAGCAATTCTGGGAGGGGAGGTTGTAGGTATGCCAAAGTGTCAATGCTGAGGTTTCTGAAGATCATTTTTATTAAGTTTAATTGAGGGCAACATCAGTTCACGGTCATTCTTCCTTTTCTGTAAATCAGAATTAAAACTCTGTTGGTGGTGAATGCTCCTGATCTTCAGACTACCCCCAAGCCCCTCACCCACGATCTTTTATGTTAGAGCTGGAACAGACTTCAGCCAACCTGTCATTTAACAGAAGAACAAACTGAGACTTAAAGTCATCAAAAGACCTGCTGGGATCATAGTAACAGGGCAAAGCTGATACAATGAATACTTGAAACAACAAAAAAGCAACACATGTATATATGATATACATGTGTATACATATTAATCATAGGAACTTAACCATTGCAATGTATCTGAATAGACACAAATGTTCTAAGAAATTTTAATTTACTGTTGAAAATCTTCATTATAGACTTTAGGAAAAAGATTTCTATAGCCTCTTTACATGCTCAGCTGTATAAGAAAACTAGAAAAAACAATTGCTTCCATTTTCCCTCGGATGTCATAAGGAAAAGTTGTCTAAGGATAAGCTGGTAACTCTCCCTTTGCTGTGAACACAACTTTACCACTTTCCTTAGCAGTTACACCAGAGCCTCAAAGCAATTTCTTTTGAATGTGTTTTGTTTCTCCTCATTGCTTAAGATTAACCAGGAAGACAAAGAAAAGTATTATTTCTTATTGGTTTTCAAATAAGGAAGTAAGATATTCTCTTCAGGTCTCCTCAGTGCTACATGTGTGTGTAATAATCATAACAAGTTTTGATGATGTTCTTGGGTGCTTTCTGGGATTCTCATGGTCACTGTTCTTCCAAAGCATTTACTATCATATTAGTTCACTATTTATTTACTATCTGCTTTGTGCCTGGAACTTTGCTAGTCACTGGTGCACAACATGAATAGAAAAAGAATATGATAGAGTTTGTATCCCGAAAAATCTGCCAATTTAGTCAGAAAATCATTAAAGGTTAAACTATTTTTCTAGACTTTTTCTTTATATAGCAAGTTTAGAGGACATAAAGGAGAAAAAGAGAGCGAGACCAACTGAACAGACAAAGAAGTTTCATGGAAGAGGCAAGCTTTAAATGAGCCTGGAAGGACTGGATTTAGGAAGAGAATAGCAGTAGAAGTAAAAAAGGAAAATGCTGTTCTAGATAAGGTAAGCTGTCTCTGCAGAGGCGTGGAGCCAGGAGTATGTGGGGGTGGGGGCAGGCAGAACATGGGCGCTCTTGGCATAGGAACATCGCAGAGGGTGTTGGCAGGAACCAAGGTTAAATAGGAAAGAAAGGACAGACTGTGAAGGGCTGAGAAGCATTAACTCTATCTAGTGGTGTTCTGAAAACTGGTCCACCTCCTGCCCCCCAAAATCTGATTTTTAGCATTTGCTGATTTCCAGGGTGTAAATATTTTTACCCCTGGCTCGGCGCCTGTGGCTCAAGCAGCTAAGGCGCCAGCCACATACACCTAAGGTGGCGGGCTCGAATCCCCAGCCCGGGCCCACCAAACAACAATGATGGCTGCAACCAAAAAATGGCCAGGCGTTGTGGCAGGCGCCTATGGTCCCAGCTACTTGGGAGGCTGAGATAAGAGACTCGCTTGAGCCCAGGAGTTGGAGGTTGCTGTGAGCGTGATGCCATGGCACTCTACCCAGGGGGATAGCTTGAGGCTCCGTCTCAAAAAAAAAAAAAAAAAAAAAAAATATATATATATATATATATATATATTTTTACCCTGGCTGATATCAAACTAACAGATCCCTGAATATTTAAAAATAGGCTTACTGATCTTAGCTCATTCTCAGAAAAAAAAGAAAAAAAACAATTCTAAGATTTCTGAGTAGGAGAGTAACACCACAGAAAGAGACTGGGCTTGGGTGGTGTAACTCAGCCACGGCAGGATGGAAATGGCAGAGGCTAGAGTTGGGAAAGCCATTCCAGATTTTATTAAAATTATCTAACTGGGAGTTTTAATAAGTCAGCTGATCACAGCACAAATTGCAGAAAAGAAGGACAGAGGAAAGATGTATGTGGGAATACCTGATGATAAAAGAAGTCTGAGGAGGGAGGAATTGTAGATGATTCCACTTTGCAGCCCAGTTGAGGGGGGCGGGGGTGACAATGCATTACTGAATGTAGAAAGCTGGTACACTAAGGGTCTTATGGTTTTAATAAACCACTCTGAAAGACACCACCAGAGAAACAGAGGTGTGGTTCTTGCAATTTCTGAGACCATAAACCAGGGTTGATCCACAGAAGACCACGTGGGCAGTTGGTAGGGGCTGTGCTAGGCCTAAAAGTCCCCTGTGTTCCATCCTAAACAATTCTTGGAAAGTGGAAAGGGAAGAGAGGCCTGGAAGAGCGATGCACGTCCACCCAGGCCCATAGCATCCTGCCTGAAAGAAATCAAATTACCACGAGAAGAACGCAGAAAGGTCAAGCAAGAACTTTCAATAAAATGAGGAACCACTCTCTGACTTGGTGGTGTAATTCCCCCAACTACGTAAAGATTATTGTCATCAAAACCATAGCCAGCCTGACCTTTGCTAGCAGGGGAGGGTGGAGAAAATTTTGCAGATTTACTAACATGGAGATCTTTCTATAGAGAGAGCTGATAGGAATGGCCTATCTTCAGCATGTGAAACTGGTGTATGCTTTTAGCCAGTCTAGAAAGAACTGAGCACAAAGGAAGAGGTAAATTGCTATGGGACCATTGGTAAAGCCAACATTTGAGCATCAGTCTCAGAAACAAAGTGATTTAGCAGTTCACCAGCCATCATGCTAAGAACCTGAAACAACCCACAGAGGAATGACAAGCCTTCAGATGGAGCTCATTTATAGAGATGGGCAAGAGACTCTCCAAATACAAGAGATCAGATGCCAGTAAAGGGGGCCAACCCTAAATCACCAGGCTCCGGCTGGGTTCACTGGCCAGGGCCTATTAGCCATGTCTCCCAGCTCTCAACGGGAGGCAGAGAGGTAGTGGGGCTGTATGTCAGTGTCAAGTTTCAGCCTCTCTAGGATAGATCTCTTACCTTCAGACAGGGACAAATCATCAGCTGGAGACACCAGGTCTGCCTGAGAAGCCAGGGCTCCACTCAGATGGGTTGTAATTTGATTCGTCAAGATAACCTGTGAACAGACGGGGGAAGGGAATGGGAGGGGAGAAGAAAAAGAGAGAAGACCAAATTAATTATTAGAGCCATCAAAAGGCAGACTGTGGTTTAGGAGAAGACTGATAAATACATAGGTAGGAAAACACAAGCTCCGATTTTCACCAACTTTATCTTTAGGCCAGAATATATCTGGCAAGGTGTATCAGTCACTCAAGACCCAGAAAACCGAGGAAACAGGATGACTTTTTTTAAGAGCTTAAACTGCTAATCAATCCTTTCTAAATGCTGAGTAAATTGGGACTGAGAGGTGTTATCATGTGAGCTAAATAACAGAAGGCTAACCACAATTAAGATGCATACATACATAATTTATCAGACTTTAACTTTTAAAATTATATCCACGACTTAATATACTGCTGTGCTGAATAAGAGTAATAATTTGAAATCTAGATGTCAGTGGCTTCTTCACTTATTAACTCAAAAGTCAGAGTTTTACTTCAAAATTTGTGAAATAGGAATAGGATTCATCTCTAAAGAAATAGCACTATTTATTCATTTACTTATTTATTTAGACAGAGTCTCACTCTGTTGCCCAGGCTACCACACTAGATTGTCTTGGTATCAGCCTAGCTCACAGTAACCTTAGATTCCTGGGTTCAAGTGATCCTTCTGCCTCAGCTTTTTGAGTAGCTGGGACTATCGGTACCTGCCACAACACCTGGCTAATTTTTCTATTTTTAGTAGAGACAGAGGTCTCAGTCTTGCTTAGGCTGGTCTCAAACTCCTGAGCTCAAAGGATCTTCTCACCTCTGCCTCCTAAGTGCTAGGATTACAGGTGTGAACCACTGCTTCCAGCCAACACTCTTCTTTTAAATTAGTTGAATTCTAACAAGTTCAAAGTTTAACTAATTCTTTAAAACATGAATTAGCATAATCCTACCTATACAAAATAAAAGTCACAATATTTTAAATTCCTGGAAAGAACTCTAAAACTAATTAATTAATTTGCATGGTCCACTGGCATACAATATTTTCACATGTAGTACAATCAAGAAACTATTCTTTTCCTATGCAATTCTCATTCATAAAATCTACCTTATTGTTTGGAGAACTAAAAGAAGAATAAACAAAGATTCACTTCTGGAAAATTAGAACACGGTTAGCACCACCATCATTTTTCAGGCCTGGTAGAAAACATGAGCACCTTGGATGTTCAGAACAAATGCCCCTTCTGAAGGGGGCACCAGGCATTTAGCACAGAATTCAGTGCTTAAAACACCCACCTAGCCGGTCTGTGTGAGTTGGAACCAAGAACAGCTATGGTTTTGTTGCCACCCTGATTTGAACAGAAATAGAAGTCATCCCCATTCTTTATTACCCAGTTTTCAGCCACACCTCTGTCACTGTCTCCTGAATGGACCGGTGACACATTATAAATCTTGTACCAATGGCAGTTTAATTGAGAGCTGAGGGGGAGAAGGATGGCAAAGGTCAGGTAAAGAAACCAAGTGCTGTATAGCAATACGACTTTTTAAGGTCTTTGTGTGTCCACCGGCTCACGAGACCCCAGCTACCCTGAAGTGATGATCCGATACTGCAGGATTCCACTCAGTTTCTGCTAATCCTACCCCTCAGATTCTTTTGTATCACTGCTTTTCATCTGGACTGATACAAATCACAAGATATGTCTCTACTTAACATGGTTGAAAATGGTCAAGTAGCCTGCACTTTCAACAAACAACTATTCAGATAGGAGACTAGGAATAAGGACTTGGGTTCATTTCTCTATAATACAGAGTAGCTTTGGAGTTCACATGAGACTGGGTTCACATGCTGATAAGACACTGTGCACCTTTGAGCTTTAACTGTTGATAGGTTGAATAATACCTATCTTTTTAGAATTATTATGAAAACTAAATGAGATAATCAGTTGTTGTTATTACTATTACAATGAAACATAGCTTAATAAATTAGTATATGCCATATGCTTCAGGTAATTGTTTCTGATAATAGAACACTAACTTATAATTTTCTACATCAGGATATACTTTAGTATTTAATCATTTCCACCAATTTCAGTCCTCCCAAAGTTTTATTTAATTGCAAAGAATTTGTGCAAAAAATCTCAGTTAGTCATTAAAGCAAGCCCAATAAGATACTGACATTTGTCTAACAATGAACCAAATAAGGATCTCTCTGTGCTAGTAAAAAATAATTGTGAAACTTCTATAAGATCTAAATATGTTAGCTCTTAATTTCTGTGATTCTTTTAAACAATGGCTTGGTGAAAATGACTAGACTTCCAACAATATGGTAAGAGCAATGAGAAAAAAAATTACCGCTACCCACCACACAAAGTATAGCACCGTCTACATGAGAGATAAAGGCACTGCATGTCTTCTCTAGAAACTTTTAAAATAAAGCACTGACTAATATATTTAGACCACTTTTTCTCAATTTTAATATTATTTTACTGCTCCTATAATGGAAACTTGTACTGCGATGATGGTTTTATTGTACACAACTAATGAAATGATGCCCTGCAGAGCCTAAAACCAAACTACAGGCCTACTTCAAAAGATATCCACCCCCATTTCCATTTCCGATGAAAAAGTAGATAGAGAAGAAAACATTTTCACTCCCCAAAGGCAAATATACGAGCTCCTAATCAGTTTTGCTAATAATCTTATCCTTTTTTATTATGAATCTTACGGCCAAATCACTGAAGACGCACCTAACAACCCAACTCGGGGGGTTGCTAATCACATCATCCTACTCAACTGGGGTTTTCTAAATTTGTGTTCAGCAAAATGATAGAATGAAAACATTTCCAAAATCATTGATTATAAATAACCATGACTTGAACAGAAGCCTATAGATGTGTTTTCCTCTACGACCACCAGGAAACTTGAAAACCATACTTATAAAATAACTTATAAACTACTATTACAAGTTATAAACAGGGTCTTAATACTAGCTGGTTTCTAAAAATGAATTCTGACCAACACTTCAGAGGGGCTTTCCTGCTGCTTTGCTCCATTGGAGAGATGGAGGCATCTGATGCTGGGTACTAAATTTGTGCAGGAGCAGCCTGCAGAGTGGTGAGGATGAGGGCTTTGGAATCAGACCTGAGTTCAGATCTTGAACTCAGCTACTCTACTAGCTGTGTGACACTGGGTAAATTTCATAACCTCTTTGGGTATGATACTACTTAACTTACAAGGTATTGAGGTTTAAACTGGATAATGGATATAAAAGTCCTTAGCACAGCAAATGGCCTATGGTCAATGTCACTCCCATCTTCATCATTTGTTATATCCTTTGCTGATGTGAACCTGCTTATTTACATGGAAAACTCATGCTGATCTTTTGTATAGCATGTAGGCCACTGGAGACAAACAACAGATATTTGCTGTTTATACGTTCAAAAGCAGTAACAATTTTTAATTGAAAGTACATCAGCTATTTTACAATTTCCCAAAATGTATAGCTTATTAAAAACAAACAGCACACAGTCACTATCACCAGCTAGAATCTCATGGCCAGGGTGGGACTCTTGGACAAAAGGAAAGATACATCGATTTCTTTAATGGTATGATTACATCTAAAGCCAGCTGTAGAATCCAGCTCAAAGTTTATTTTTCAGGAAGAAAAATAATGTCTACCTACTGCAGGGAACCGGAACCCTATGAATTGTATAAAACAACTACTGTTTTCCCTCAACCTTCTAAAGAGAAACACTACTTACTCCTAAGGACTCCTTGCATTGGTTTCTTGGTTACAGGATGCTTAAAGAGGTATACTTATATAAAAAAAGGTCCCTAATATAATATTCCGTGGGACTTCCTCCCCCCCAGGCAAAATGATTTTAAAGGATTTTTTCCTTTAAAACCATGTCCCCTAGTTGGGCGCCCATAGCTCAGTGGTTAGGGCACCGGCCACATACACCAGGGCTGGCAGGTTCAAACCCAGCTGAACAATGACAACAACAACAACAACAACAAAATAGCCCGGTGTTGTGGCGGGCACCTGTAGTCCCATCTACTTGGGAGGCGGAGGCCAGAGAATCACTCGAGCCCAACAGTTTAAGTTGCTATGAGCTGTAATGCCACAACACTCTACTGAGGGAAACATAGTGAGACTCTATCTTAAAAAAAAAAAAAAAAGCCCCGGAATTCCCAGTTTTCCCATGCATTATCTGGCTTCTCTAAATGCATCCTATTCAAGCCTTCTGTGTACTGTGGTCCAACACCTGTGCTCAGCTCAATTAAGATCTCGAAAAATGAAGGAAATTCAGGGCATAGAGTCATAAACAATAGGTCCTACTTTCACAGAGAACAAGACTTTTAAGCTAGAAAAAAGAGAAACAGGAACCAGCAAATGGCTAGAAAATCAATGTGGTTTTGGTCAGCAGGCAGAGGATCCTAGACATAAAAAGCCAACCAACACACAAACAAAAATATATGACTCATATTCACTAAGTATTAAAAAATTAGCTTAAGACAGCCCATACCTTATGATAATAGAGTAGGAAGAAAATGAGCTGGTCATTAGCCTTAGGGGTCAAGAGACTGGACAAACTGAGGCTGACTCCTCACAAGCCTAGTGTCCAGTGCAGACCATCGCCTTCAGCTGACCCATCTTTTTTCAGCTATGTTATGACTAGACCACACCCAGCTACAGCCATACCCTGCTCCAGCTTTGCTCCTAGCCCAGAATACATCCTGCCTTAAGGGCCACTGCCTAAGTCTGATCTGCCCTACCCTACATTGACGGATTAAAGTAGTGGTTCTCAACCTGTAGGTCATGACCCACAGGAACTGTATTAAAGGACTGCGGCATTAGGAAGGTTGAGAACCACTGGATTAGAGGTATCTTTATGGGGCCCTTCGTGAGTAGCCATTTTGTATACTGGAGCCTACAATGAGTATGTAACATAGTGGACATAAAACAGATCAGACTTAGAGAAATCAGAATGGGGAGTTCCCAGGCCTGAGAGCACAGCCTTTGGTGGAA